TTACTCTGATAACAACTTAATGGTTAGGACACAGACCTGTGGGTTACCAGATTGATGTAAAACAGAGTTAATAGACTATTTTCTATTCAGGTTGTTTGTTTGTTTTGCCTTTTTAATACAATTTACAATATTATTTGCACTTTTTACTGTTCACTGATGCCATTTCTGTTTGTTATTTCTAATTTTTATCCCTGAATAAACAGGTCAGTGTCTCTTTACCAGCCAGTGTGTGTTATTCAGACTCCCCTAATTCAGCTGGTTAGTTGTTATCAGAGTATTAGCATTAGCATTAGCATCTGTAACCCACAGGTCTTTGTTCTAACCATTAAGTTCTAACCATGTTAATGTGAAGCTAACGGTAAAAATGTCAGTTGTGTGGGATTATTTGATCCTTCAGGAGGAAAAAGACCAAGAGGTGGATGTAAAACAGAGTTAATAGACTATTTTCTATTCAGGTTGTTTGTGTGTTTTGCCTTTTTAACACAGTTTACAATATTATTTGCACTTGTTACAGTTCTCTGATGCCATTTCCGTTTGTTATTTATCATTTTTATCCCTGAATATGGGATCGGGACGAGCTTACCCTGAGGATGTCTCCGGCCAGAGAGCCTTTCCCCGGTCCGAGCTCCACCAGCTGCAGCTTTTTGGGCCGACCGGCCGCCATCCACTCGCTCAGGACCCAAACGCCCAGCAACTGGGGAACAGAAACAGAAAAAAGGGGGAGTTTACAGCCTTACAGCTTCTCAGACGAGTTATTCTGCAACTCTGGTTTCAAAGGTGGAGTTCTGGAGCTCTGCAGAGGCCCTGAGCCCATCTGAGTCCAGTTCAGGGTGTCAAACTCAAAATTTAAAACCTGATCTTAGGTTTTAAATTGGGCCTAAATTGAACAAATGAACCTTTTAATATGGAACTAAACTAATTTAGCTTTAACATTGAATATGGAAAAAGCAGCTCTTATTACCTTATACTGTATATAACATAATAGTGGAGACATGCAAAATCAAATTTCATATTAAAAAAAAAAACACATCAATGGCATTCATTTATGAAATAAGATTTTAAAAATTTTCATTTCCCCAATTTTGCTTTAACATTGAATATAGGATATGTGCTATACCCTCTAAAGTGTGACAGACTGGACCCAATTTCTGTTTTATTTCTATTTTTTTTTCTTGTGTTTATTTATGCTTTATGTTTGCCTGCCTCTTTCTGTTCCCCTCTATAATGCTAAATGCTTGATAACCCGCATTTAAGGCAATAAAGTTAAAAAACAAACAAAAAAACACTGAATATGGAACAAGCGACTCTTACTACATTATATATAACTTAATAGTGGAGACATGCAAGATCAAATTTCAAATAAAAAACACATAAATGGCATTCATTTATGAAATAAGATTTTAAAACATTTTTCTATTCGCAGCCTTCAGAATTAAATATCTAAAAGAAATGAGCTTGTCCAGAAATATCCTGTTTACTGCCTTTCTTTTGGTCATTTTTGGAGTTTCTGGGTCCTGTCCTGAACAGCAGCAGGGCATTATGGGAGTTGTAGTGTGAGCCATTAATGGTCTGTACAGTATAACACCGGGGGCCAGCTCTCAGTCATTTGATATTATCTCACGGTCTGTAGCGGCTAAAATCCAGTATTTTAGGCTACTGGTTGTTGACTTTAAAAGGGTGTTGGTCTTACGTGTGCTCTGTTTAGAAATCCGGATGCCAGTCTTTGGTTTGATTTATAATAAAGATGTTTATTGTTTGCATAGTGTCCATTTCCATATTTCCATAGTAATTCGACTATATTCTGCCATCGAAAATCAAACAAAAACACAGTAGAAAACTGTTGCCCCTTCTTATCAACAACGCCTGAAATCAATCACGGCAGACCTTAAATAACCCATCCCTCATTAGACGCACAGAACTCAAAATGAAAAACGCCCCCTGGTGGCGATAAACACAAAAAAGGATAAATGGCTCCTACACGGTCCAAATATAATTACAAGAGTTTGACACCTCTGGTGTAGATCGATGATTAAAACGAGCCAATTAGCAGCTCCGGTTCAAGATCAAAGGCGGGGTAAATGAGTGACATCACCAGGGGAACCTGTAGGAGAAAAGATTGAGGGCCTCACCTCCCCGAACACCTGGCTGATCTCTGGAGATGTGATGAAATCCCCATCAGGCCCCAGCATGTCGTTCTTCACATAATAACCCTGAGGATGGGAGCAAACAGGGTCAGAAACACACAGAGAACCACCCGGAAAAATGTCTTAAAATCTTATTTCATAATTGAATGCCATTAATGTGTGTTTTTTATTTGCTTGTTGCAAGTTGCTTGTTCCATATTCAATGTAATGCCAAATGTATCATATCTGATTCATACTGTTTCTGAAATGTTTTGATTCTGACTCCTTTTGCATCATTTAATGGTAAAAACTTTTCTCAAAATCCTATTGTACACAATAGGATTAAACTTATTGCACTTATTGCATAGTAATACATTATTAATATCAAAATGTATTTCTGATTTTTCTCTTTACATATTTTGTTAAAAAGCCAAATAAGGCCTAAGATGCTCAGAAACAGACTCATTCCTCCTTAAATTCCTAACGAGATTAAAATAAAAACATCCCCCACATCTGGATCTCTTCTAACTTCCCAGCTAACATCTAAAAAAAAAAAAATATATATATGCTATCACTAGCAAGTAAGGAGCTGTCTTTCCAAGAAATCCTACTTCCAAGGGTCCCATTTATTCAATTTAATACTTTAAAATAATTCTAAAAAATACAAGAAAGTGACATCAACATCCTCTAGAGTTTATTAAAGAGGTAAGAGGTCAGATTTTACACCACAACCTTATATTAATATTGTTCTTTCCCTACTTCCAAGGGTCCCATTTATTCAATTTAATCCTTTAAAATAATTCTAAAAAATATAAGAAAGTGACATCAACATCCTCTAGTTTATTAAAGAGGTCAGAGGTCAGATTTTACACCACTACCTTACATTAATATTGTTCTTTCCCTACTTCCAAGGGTACCATTTATTCAATTTAATACTTTCAAATAATTCTAAAAAATATAATAAAGTGACATTAACATCCTCTAGTTTATTAATGAGGTCAGAGGTCAGATTTTACACCATAACCTTATTTTAATATTATTTTTTTTCAATCTTTCTTCCAATCAATACCAACATTATTCAGCATCTATAGCAGATTTATTATCTAAATTTAATTTACAGCTACTTTTAAGGAGATATTGAGTAAAGTTTGGCTCTTAATGGAAGATCAGAGGGATGACCTTTGACCCCTGAAGAGGCCGGATGAGACCAGATGTTTTAACGAGAGTGTTTTTTTAGGCTTTTTTAGGCTCTTCATCACGTACCGTCAGCGGGTTGGTGAGGACCTCCCTCATGTACTCGGCCACAGAAATGGGGCCGGTGGCTTTTATTTTGGAGGTGAGGTGTTTGAGGATGGAGGGCGGAGGTTTGTCCCCCTCCGAGGAGCTGTGGGCCGATCTGGACACCTGCCATCGTGCTGCCAAACACAAAAACACCTTTAGACACCTTTAACTAAAGCTGGA